ACACAAAGCTGCAAAGGGGTCTTTTCCAGAGCCAGTTTTAAAAGGGGGAGAAGTAATAGCCTTCCATAGGGAGCACGGCCTTTAAAGATGATATAACAAAATATGTGGTTGGCCAGAATCGACCTGCAATAATTACTCGAGACCACAATCAACAGTGGAAGTTTTCGGGAGCTCATTGCTAGTGAGTCCATTTTTAGATTTATTTCCCCACCCGGCACAGAAAACACATTTCCTCTCCTAGGCCTAAGCTTTTCCTGCAAATATGAAGAGAAGGGAGAGGGGGGGAAAAAACAGAAGAAGAAAAGAAATAGTAGCAGCAATACCATGTAAAATGCAAATCGGGTTGTAAATATTTTATAAAATTGTTGCATACATCCCAAAAGCTATAGGTCTTAATTGAGAGGAGGCAATGTTTCCAGTCAATATATGGAAATGGAAAATGCTAATTCATGTTTTTCTACTTATGAAAAACCCTAGAGGACAGCGAAACCACAAATGCACTCCACTTCGATATTATAAATATAATTTGGCTCCCTCTTTATAATCCCCAGTGTCCTGGCTTTTATCTCCCAATGGCTGCAGAGGAGGGAAAAAAATATCGCACAGGCGTCTTGACATCATCTATACAGGAAGTCAACCTTCGGGTACCGCCAGCTTGGCGGAGACAGAGCAAGAGACAGAGCAGAGAAAAGTTCCAAACAGGAACTGAAACAAAATATTCCGGCGCTGTTGCATAGGAAACAAATCCAGAATGATATGGAGAGCATGACTGGAGAGTGTGGTGGTGCAAAGAACTTTTTGTGGCTCATAACTCCCAGGCTGCACTAGCAAAAGTCAAGTTATTGTCGAAGGCTTTCATGGCTGGAATCACTAGGTTCTTGTAGGTTTTTTTCGGGCTATAGGGCCATGTTCTAGAGGCATTTCTCCTGACGTTTCGCCTGCAAGTCAAGTTGCTCATCAGATAGAATCATCAGATAGAATCACCTGGGCCATCCAGTCCAAACCCATTACCCTTATTATTACATTTCCATTATTTTACTCTATTATTGTTATTTTTATATTATTTTATTCTCTTTATTATTATTGGAAGGATACGGAAGCACATTTACATTGAGGAAGGTTAGAATAATGGTTTCATCAGAGTTAATGTCATTTTATTGGTATCTATTTTTATTTTGAAACTAGCTGTACCCGCCATGCGTTGCTGTGGCCAACCTTCCCTCCCTCTTTCTCTCTTCTTTCCCTCCTTCCCTTTTCTTCTTTCCTTCTCTCCTTCCTTCCTTCTCTACTCTTTCCTTCCTCCCTTTTTCTTTTCCTTCCCTTTCTCTTTCTTCCTTCTCTGCTTCTTTCCTTCCTTCCTTTGCTTTTTGCTTCCATCCTTCTTTTTGTCTTTCCTTCCCCTCCCTCTTTCTTTCTCTTCTTCCTTCGCTCCCTTTCCTTTTTTTTCTTTCCTTCCTTCTTTCTCTTCCCATTTCTTTCCATCCCCACTGCTTCTTTTCCCCTTTCTCTCCTTTCTTCCTTCTCTACCTCTTTTCTTCCTTCCTTCGCTCGTTGCTTCCATGCCTCCTCCTCCTCCTCCTCCTCCTCCTCCTCCTCCTCCTCCTTCTTTTTCTTATTGGACTGGATAGCCCTTGGGGTCTCCTCCAACTAGATCAGTGGTTCTCAACCTTCCTAATGCCACGACCCCTTAATACAGTTCCTCCTGTTGTGGTGACCCCCAACATTATTTTCATTGCTACTTCATAATTATACTTTTGCTACTGTTACTAATTGCAATGTAAATATCTGATATGCAGGATATATTTTCATTCACTGGACCAAATTTGGCACAAATACCCGATATGCTCAAATTTGAATACTGTCGGGGTTGGGGGGATTGATTTTGTCATTTGGGAGTTGTAATTGCTGGGTTTTATAGTTCACTTACAATCAAAGAACATTCTGAACTCCACCAACAATTGAATTGAACCAAACTTGGCACACAGAACCAACAGAAAATATTGGAAGGGTTTGGTTGGCATTGATCTTGAGTTGTGCAGAGTTGTAGTTCACCATCATCAATAGAGCACTGTGGACTCAAACAATGATGGATCTGGACCAAACTTGGCACGAATGCTCACTATGCCCAAATGCAAACACTGGTGGATTTTTGGGAAAATAGACATTGACATGTGGGAGTTATAGTTGCTGGGATTTATAGTTAACCTACAATCAAAGAGCATTTTGAACCCCACCAAACTTCCCACACTGAACCCCCATGACCAACAGAAAATACTGTGGTTTCTGATGGTCTTTGGCAACCCCTCTGACACCCCTCACGACCCTCTCAGGGGTCCCAACCCCCAGGTTGAGAAACGCTGAACTATATGATTCTATGATCCCAATTCCGCTATTAACCAATATTTTCTATGGTTACTTAAAAGGTGAAAAATATAAGACTACTGGGCTTCCAAAAACCAAATGGCATGCTTCAGCTCCACTTTATGTTGAATATGCTTCTGTACATATCTTTTCTTTGATGTGGGTGATGTAGAAAGTAAGAACAGAGGGTGGGTTTTTTTTTTCTAAAACAGGTGTAGATGTGCAAGAGAAATTAGTCAGTGCTTGGAGCAACTGTCTCTTATTGCCTCAAACCTGGCAGACCTGAGCCCCTCCCAAGCATATATTTTCTGGAAAGATTTGGGAAACGTCCCTGATGGAATTTCCCAACACAACGTATTCCAGTTCCAATGTCTCTCCAGAGCAAAAGGCCTGAGGTCCTTCTATTGATGAGAGTTTGAGCCACTAATCTTTCAGTTGGACGGGGGAAATGTTTAAGATATTTGACAAAATCCCTGGTTTGTGCTTACATTCCCATCCTCACCCCCATACAGGTTGTACTGCAGGTGCAGTAAGGGCCCCGTTCCCCCCAAATCTTGTAACCAATGGTTTTATAAGAAGGTTTGGCACATAAGGCTTGGCTCTCAAGTGCGAGGCCCTCATTGCACCATTCGACACTAACGGCTCCAAGTGGACCATAAGTTGAAACCTGGAAAATCTGTGAGCGTTACAGGCAGTGACAGCAGATATTAATGCCTCCCACATTGACTCCATAAATCAAAACAGATTTAGAGGAACTATTAAAGCTCATGACAAGAATCCACACTTCACTTTAATAATTCCCTATTAACATATTTAACTGCTGGGCTGTATATTTTAAACATTTCTTACTATTGGGTATATAAGTAATTAGTGGCTTTTAAAAGATGCATTAACAGTTGGGGGGAATAAGCTGAATTTTTTTTTGATCAATCGTCTGGAAAAATGCAACAGAATGATATTTTGTTATGTAATTGTTGATCAAGGTGTGCTTTGGTACCATCAGATACCTTTTGGTTTGGACCACAACATGGGATCATTTCTAAGAAGTGAGAGCAGGATACAACCCAAACTACCAAAGATAAAAGAGATGATGTTCTAGTCTGAAGCCCTTAGAGCTTCATGACCCCCAAATTAGGTTGGGGGACCTCAAATGGGGTCATGATCCACGGTTTAAGACTCTACGTCAGCGTTTCTCAACCTGGGGATCGGGACCCCTGAGGGGGTCGCGAGGAGGTATCAGAGGGGTCGGGTCGCCAAAGACCTTAAGAAATACAAATATTCTTCAATAAACTGCTTGCTGATTTTACCAACCTGGTGTGATGTTTAAGGTTAGAGGTATTTCTGCTCTGGAGTACAACAACACCCTCCACTCCCATAAAATGGACTGTCCTTCTCTCTCTAGTACCTACTTGTGACCTCCACCCAGATAATGGAACTGTACCAACAGTATTAGTAGTAGTAGTAGTAGTAGTAGTAGTAGTAGTTACACCTGGAAATCCCAACTGGATGGTCCCCCACGAGGGTCTTCCTCCAGGGGCAAACCAAGAACGGCCAACTTGGAAGTCACTGAACAGACTCAGAAATGGAAAGGGCAGATCAAAAGGCAACCTGGCAAAATGGCACTCCCTAAAAGAATCCCACACCTTGTGTGACTGTGGAGCAGAACAGACAACTCTGCATCTGTATGCTTCTCCACTATGCCCTGCCTCATGGATAGAGGAAGAATTGTTGGAGGCTACAGACAATGCCATTGCTGTTGCCTATTTTTGGTCAAAAGATATTTAGCCATCTATGCTCCTTCTATTTTTATGAGTTTTATACTAATTTATGATACGAAATAAATAAAAATAGTAGTAGTAGTAGTAGTAACATAGCCTATAGCACCTGATATTTATTGGTGGCTTCCTATCTGAGTATTGACTAGGGCTTTCTATACGGTTCCGGCCCAGTGTATCTGTCCGAATGGATCTCCCTCTACGTCCCACCTCGGAATCTAAGATCTTCTGGGGAGGCCCTGCTCTCGACCCCGCCTCTATCACAAGTGAGATTGGCGGGGACGAGGAGCAGGGCCTTCTCAGTGGTGGCCCCCCACCTGTGGAATTCACTCCCCGGGGAAATTAGATCAGCAACATCACTCCTTTCCTTTAGGAAAAACTTGAAAACATGGATTTGGGACCAGGCATTCGGACAATCGGGCAGATAAAGAAAGGACTTGACAATGGACAGGAAATGACTAATGGAATGGAATTATGGAACTCTGAAAGACGAACACTGAGCATGAGATTAGTTTTTATATGATTATATACTGATTGTTTTGATTGTTTTTAACTGTGATAATTGTTTTAACTATGGTTTTGTACATTATGTGTATTTTGTACAGGCATCGAATTGTGCCTTTTTGTAAGCCGCCCTGAGTCCCCCCGGGGGTTGAGAAGGGCGGGGTAAAAGTACCCGAAATAAATAAAAATAAATTTCTTTCTTAGCTTCCAAAATCAAATGGGATGCATATCTTGACATTTTGAGGATTTCGTTAAAAAGCACCCTCCTCATTCAAAATGGCGGGCTTTGCTGGGTTTTAAAGGGCAGAGGGAAACAATTTGAAGCTCTTTTAAACATGAAGACCGTACTGCATCTCCTACCTGTAATAGCATTTTTCATAATCCTCCTCTCCAGTAATCCAGGAGCTGGAAAAGAATGCAAGACCTCACCATTTGGGGCTGGGGCTGCACCTACAGGAGACAGGAGGCAGAGACACTCAACTCCTCCCCACAAGGCAAGGAGCTGGTCATGGGTGATTTCAAATCAGAACCAGTAAAGGCATGCAGGAGCAACCGGGTTAAGGAAGGAGACCTCTGAAAAACACCATTGCAATTTCCTTCGCAGCCTCCATCTCAAAAGTGGGCGCGGGACTTCCAAGTGCTTGCTATGGGCAGAAATGCAAATGATGCATGCAATGGCCTCTTACCTTCACATCCCGACTGCATTTTGAAAAGTGTCAGTCAATGAAGTGTACATGTTTGTGAGATGTAAAGAAACTGTATGTGGACACCTCAACTTAGTAGAGCATATAGGTCTCTGGGACAGATTCAATAGCAGGTATAAGAAATGTTGCATAGAGCTAAACCATAGAAAAGCATGCGCCAAAATCCGGACAGGACCAGAGAATGAACACGGACAGAAAATTAATGTCTGGACATTATTTCCTGATAAAAGCCTATTGATGGTATCAGAAAGGGGGAAAACATAAAATGAAGAGGTTTCTTTGGATTGCTCTAAATTCAGAAATCAGTGCTGCAGGTTCCTGATTATGAAATGATCTTGATCCAGAATGGTGTACAGCATGCTTTCGGCAAAAAAGATAATGGTATCTGGCTAGATAAGCACTTTCTACCCTCCACAAGAAAAGTGAATGTTTGCACCTATCTCTATAGATAAAGGTTTAAGAAAGTTTCTCTTATATATTTAATTGTAAAGGATTTTTCTTGGTCTAAGCTCACACTGCAACCAAGAGGCAACATTCACTTGTATAAACCAAGGGAAACCACCAATCTTCCTAGTTGTAGTCATTAAGCACTGGAACACATCTTTTTCTGTGTCAGGAGTGACTTGAGAAATTGCAAGTTGCTTTTGGTGTGAGAGAATTGGCCATCTGCAAGGATTTTGCCCAGGGGATGCCTGGATGTTTTACCATCCTGTGGGAGGTTTCTCTCATGTCCCCACATGGGAAGCTAGAGCTGACAGATGAGAGCTCACCCTGCTCCCTGGACTCGAACCGCTGACCTTTCGGTCAGTGTTTCAGCCGGCACAATCGTTTAACTCATTGCTCCCACTGAGCACCCAATATGCGGAAATCTGAAAAGCCATACTCAAAAATCCAAAATAATCTACACAAGTGACTGAGATTGTAATATCCTTGCTTTCAGGTACTATAAAAATGTTGATTCATGCACACATTGTGTATAAAATAACTTTCAGGCTGAAACTTAAATGAATGTCATGTTTAGATTAAGGTCCCACCTCTAAGATAACTTATTATGTCTTCTGAGGGTGATTTGTCATCTTGAGTGAAGACAGAAAGCAAGACTTTTGTAAACAGAGACAAAGTTCTCAGGCACAATGAAGAAAAGAGAGATAAGAAACCCTATCTGGTTGTAAAGGCAAGAGAAATGTTTTCCTTTCAGTTCTGGGGTCAGGAAAAACTGCATATTGATACAAGGGAAAGAGTTGCAAATAGAGGTATTCCAAAATCCAAAACACTTCTGGTCATAAGCATTCTGGATAAGCAATACTCATCTTGTACTACGGGTCTTTCAATTCTGTGTTGCAATTTTCTTGTTAGGCCGTGCTTTCTGGTTAATGAGAACTACATACCAGCGATTGATCCAAAGCTATATTGTTCCAACAACTGCAACATTGTGCTTTCTGCCCTGTCTTGTTAGAGCCAAGAGCAAGCACTCTCACCCAAACTATAGAACACATTGGTAAAACATTTCTTCCAATATGTGTTTCCAGAAAAGTTTGCTCTGCTGATCTGAAAGTGCCAGAAGGTCAGTCACCTATGATATATTCAGACATGGCCAACCCAAGCTTTCTAAAACCAGCATGCACAGAACCAAACAGGAGAGGGACAGGGTCCTGCAGTAATGCCAAAATAGAAGTGGGAATCATGTGGCACTACAGGTAGGGTGGCACTCCGAGCAGCCAATGAGGGTTAGGGTGCGTGATTCAATAACTTTTTCACATAATCACCATTCAGTTTTCACTTTATCATCCATGGGACGAGTTTTTGATGCCTGTGTCATAGAAGTTTCCTTGCACCTTTTTCAGCCAGTCCATCACTTCAATTTTCACCTCATCTTTATAGGAATAGTGTGTCATTCAGTTTAGTGAACAGATGATAGTCACCGGGTGCAAGATTGGGGTTGTGAGAGGGATGGCTGAAAACATCCCAGCCAAATGAGCGGCGTGCATTGTCATGAAGGAGACAGACTCCTGCCGTCAGCATCCTACAATGTTTGTTTTGGATGACTCTGTGAAGTTTCTTCATGATCTCACAATATATTCCCTACCCATTTTGTCACATGCTTGACATTACGTCCCCTCCATAAGCTGAAATGTTTTCGCAATGAATCGCAGCAACGTTCATGCCCTTAGCATGTAGGTAGGATATTACAACGGAGGGAAACGGAACGGGGATGCTCATCTCTAACATTCACCACAACGCCAGTTGATGAGTGACTGACGACTGGCACTGCTCATTCATTTCCTCTGATTTCCCACTACACGTCAGTGATACCAACTTCCCTTGCGAAAATTCCCTGTGAGAGCTACATGCCTTGTAACCTTACTTTACAGATAACACTCGTACTTAAGCGTCCCTGCTCAGTTAAGTCTTGTGGCTCAGTTCTACTTCTGTAAGCTAGCTCCTTGTCTAGAAAACTAAGAGATAGCTTGCTCCAAAACCTACCCCACATGATGCCCAAGTAAGTCAAGATGTTACTTTGCATTATTCTGCTGTACCTCTTGAGCTGCACTTCCTATACTTGAATTTTTCAACATTAGCTCAAGATTATTCCAAGGCTTTTCAGTGTTAGTCCCAAACTGTGACCTCTCCAGGAAATATCTCTAGTTCTTTAGAAGAAACAACCCTATCTGGCTGCATTGAAGACTAAATGCAGCCTGTTTAGGAGAAAAGAATGTTGTTTGCTTCCATCCCAAACTTCCTGAAAAAAGTCAAGATGATGGAGAAGCAAATCTCGAAAACTTGCAACAGCATTTAAATGATTAAAAGATATATATTGAGTACGTGTTGAAGAACCTGAAACTCAGTTGACAAAGACAGAAAGTTTTCTGAATGACACTAATAATTTTGGGAGGGTAAAACTCCCATTTTAACTTGCACATATATTGCGCAGCCATAGCATAACATTTTCAGCAGAGAAAGATCATATCTAATGGGCAGCCTTACAGCTTAAAGGACCAGTTTAAAGTCTCCCAGAGGTTTGCAGTTCAATTTCAGCTGACCTTTAATTAAAGACAATACACCAAATTGACACCAAGAGAATTAAAACTGCAGTATAAATTCAGCTCCATAACTAGCATCCAAATAATTCCTTTTGTTTCTTGCCGCATCCTTGGCTAAGTTGTGGACGTCAAATTCTCTGGCTTGAATGGAATGGCTTGAACATAAAGGTCGTAACAACATAATAAATCTTGATTTGTCCCTCTCAAGAACTGTATGTCAAGCAAGGACTTTCCCCAATAATTAGCCAGCTACAATGAAGACAGGGAAGACAAGAAGGAGAGGGAATGGAAGACAGATAACACTGGCCCACACACATTTTGTGCCTCAAATATTAGCCCTGTTTCCAGGTATATTTGACCTTCTGATTCCAAAAATTGTATCCATTTTCCCCTATTAGCTCTAGTTTTTGAGATACAGTACATATGACGTCTCCCAGTTTTTATCTGCTTGCCCGTAGAAAACCATGATAACCATATCTAAGAAACTGATGTGGTCTATCCAATGCAATTTTCTGAATCAGTGCCCCAAATAACCCCAGGAGCAGATCGATAAACCAAGACATCAATAATGTTTTTGCTGTTGTGCTGTGTAATTTTTGGCAACCAAGAATGAGATTTCTAGTTGCCAAGACAGTGAGTTAGGGTCTTATATAAAACTGAGAATATCATGTGAACATTCTGCCTTTTTGGTGAAAGATAAGTCTCTAGTATAGTGGTTCCCAACCTTCTTTTGACCAGGGACCATTTTGACCAGGGACCACTCTCCAACATTAGTACCAAAAGGGTTACGAATCAGTTTTTGGTCAACTTTAGATTCTGTTTGGTTATTTGGGGTGCTGATTCAGAAAATTGCATTGGATAGACCACATCAGCTCTAGTTTCTGATACAGAACATATGCCATCCAGTAGTTGCCATCTGATCACCCACAGAAAACTATATTTAATCATCTAGAGCCGTGGACCTTATTTTAAGTCTTGCGGGGCCCCAGTGGGCCACAGCCCACAGTTGGGGAATCGCCGCTCTAGTGAACCTCACATCTTTTTTTACCAGACCTGGGTGGTAGTACACAAGAGGACTCTCCAGCTGACGTCTTGCTATTTAGTAGTTCAAGGCTAGTTCTGTCAAAGACACGTCAGTTTAATAGATCTCAGTGCATAAGGGAACAACAGTGCCAATGTCAATCTGAAAACCATTTTAGTCTGTGGCACACTCAAGTACTCTACTATGGTTTGTCATAAACAGGAGTTCTCCTAGGACAGTGTTTCTCAACCTTTCTAATGCTGTGACGCCTTAATACAGTTCCTCATTTTGTGGTGACTCTCAACCATAAAATTATTTTTGTTGCTACTTCACAACTGTAATTTTACTACTGTTCTGAATCATAATGTAAATATCTGGAATGTGGGATGTATTTTCATTCACTGGACCAAATTTGGACACAAGACACCTGACATCCCAATGTATGTCCTTCACTAAAAAAAATGATTGTCATTTGGGAGTTGTAGTTGCTGGGATTTATAGTTCACCTACAATCAAAGAGCACTCCACCAATGATGGAATTGAACCAAACTTGGCATACAGAACTCCCATGACCCACAGAAAATACTGGAAGGGTTTGGTGGGCATTGACCTTGAGTTTTGGAGTTGTAGTTCACCTACATCCAGAGAGCACTGTGGACCCAAACAATGATGGATCTGGATCAA